TTTGTCCAGGCTATCCCCATCTTCTGTCAAACCTGGACTAGGGTTCCAAAATCAGGTATTACATTAATGTAAAGTGTATGCAGACAAATGCCTGCATGAAACACTACAGGCTTGGGGAAGAGTGGCTGGAAAGCTGCTCAGCAGAAAAGGACTTGGGGGTGTCGGTCAACAGCCAGCTGAACATGAGCCAACAGTGTGGCCAGGTGGCCAAGAAGGCCAACAGCATCCTGGCTTGTATCAGAAATAGTGTGGGCAGCAGGACTAGGGAAGGGGTCATCCCCCTGTACGCGGCACTGGTGAGGCCGCACCTCGAATACTGTGTTCAGTTTTGGGCCCCTGACTACAAGAAAGACATTGAAGTGCTGGAGCCTGTCCAAAGCAGGGCAACAAAGCCGGTGAAGAGTCTGGAGAACAAGTCTTATGAGGAGTGGCTGAGGGAACTGGGGATGTTTAGTCTGTAGCAGAGGAGGCTGAGGGGAGACGTTATTGCTCTCTTCAACTGCCTGTAAGGAGGTTGTAGTGAGGTGAGTGTTGGTCTCTGCTCCCAAGTAACAAGCAATAGGATGAGGGGAAATGGCCTCAGGTTGTGCCAGGGGAGGTTTAGACTGGATATGAGGGAAAATGTCTTCACCAACAGGGTTGTCCAGCATTGGAACAAGCTGCCCAGGGAAGTGGTTGAGTCATCATCCCTGGAGGGATTTAAAAGATGTGTAGATGTGGATCTTAGGCACATGGTTTAGTGGTGGGTTAATGGTTGGACTCAGTGATCTTAAAGATCTTTTCCAACTGAAATGATTCTATGATTCTAAGTTCATAAGAATTTCATCCTCATGTGTATGTATACAAATCAGTGGAAAATGGGACATAATCCTGTCCAAATGTGTTGATAATTATGCATATAAAACATTCAGAACCACAGGGCAAGAGTATATTGGTGACTTGAAGATTACATTATTTCAGAGTATATAGCATTATTAAAAGGTACATAGTTGGAGAAAAAATCAGCCATGCTTGTCTTTGCTTGATTGATGCTAAGATAAGGTTTATACAGATAATTATCTCATCTAAATAATGGCTAGTTTTAGCGTCACATTTTATTTTTCCTGCAGATGAGGATTTATTAGGTGATGGAAATTCCATTAACAGGAAATGAGTCCAATCTGGCTTTGCAAAACACAGCATGGGCCAACTCCAAAGTTAGAAGCATAATTTATTAAATCATTCTGTAGTGTTGTAGTATGGGGAGGATAAGTTCTGAAGTTTGCAAGCATCCTTCTTTACATTTATGTATTAATTTTGTTCCTCAAACAAATCTTTATATTTACTGGGGGGGTAGGCTAGAAAAGCTCCACAATAATCATGTTGAAAGATTTTGTGTGTGCTTTTAGCATTTTAGTTTCTTAATAACAAAAGACAGATGTGATACAGATGTGAGCAGGATGGGAATGCCGTGGGGCATCTGTGTGACACTGTCTTCTTGTCAGTGATGAAACCAGCCTGGGAGTGACCTCTGAGGTTGGAGCTCTGCATTCCAGAAATGTTGCTTAGCTTAGTGCAGGCCAGTGTTGGGAACCTGCTTGTTTGCACGATGTTAGTATGGGTGCACTAAACACCCTCGTGGTTCTGGGATGCTGTTCTGACAAATTGAGCTGCTGCCATAGATTTGCCTGGTGAATGATTGGATATTAGTTTTTATCAGCTCCTGATCAATAGCACCTATACTTAACCCTTCACAATATTAGAAGCCTTCAGTGTTTGTGCAAAACCACTGCTATTTGGTTTTATCCATGACCTTTTTACTTAATCCAATAAAATTAGTAAGTTCTGCTGATTTAAAAGCAAATTTCTACGGGGGCAGAGCCTTAGTTCCAATCCTGTTAAGCTGAAGTTGCACCAACCTTTAGCCCAGGTTCAATGAAGCAAGTCTGACTGCTCTCCTTCCTAATGATGCTGTCTGGCAACTGTGGGCTTCAGAAGCGTAGCGAAGTCAAGCTCTATCATCTGTACTGCGGGAACATGCCATCTGACAGTATATCACCTTAGGTAGGGGTGATAGGGGCTAGGTATCTCAAACTGCTTTATGCTGATGGAAGAGCAGAGCATGACTGGGGCATGGATGGAGACTGGTGCCATTTTATACATCAGGATTAGACCTTCAAGTCTTTTTGTAACTGGTATTGCAGTGTGGCCTTAGTATCATTCTATATAGGTGGGGAAAAAAATGACAGCCAGGACTTTGTTTTCTGTAGGTTATTTATAAAAACATTCAGCCCAGTTTTATGCTAACTCTGGAAACAGCAGACTCTTGCTTCAGTAGTACTACTGGTTAATGTAGAATTGCTCCTGAATTTCAAAGAGGGCGTTGCTTATAATTATTTTAAATTGGCAAGGAAGTAAGACACTGTGCCAGCTTATTACTTTTTGTAAGATCTTGAAGCTTAGGTGCTGATGTTGTCTTATTCACTCCCCTTCAGCTGATGTTTTAGTAGAAGTTGTCCACTGGACTCAAATTTAGCAGAGGGTGGAGGGATCAAAACGGGGTATAAAGGAGTGAACCGGCTCCAATTTATACCCATATATGTATATATGGAGGGGAATAAGATACACGGAAATCAACGCTTTATTCATTCTGCTGTTCACAGAAGAATTTGGGGGCATTTTGCTTGTTTTGAGGTGTCCTGGTTCTGGCAAGGATAGAGTTAATTTCCCAAGGAGCCAGGACAGGTGACCCAAGCTGGCCGGGGGCTATTCCATGCCACGTGACGTCATGCTCACCATAAAAGGGGGCTAGTCGGGTAGGGGCGGGATCGGGGTGGC